GCCTCCTCTTCATTGTTGGATCAGACGGCTTAAAGTCAGAACAGGGCGGCCGAGCCAATCGCCTTTTTCCATCGTGCAGAAAGAAAGCGGCGGTCTCGCACGACAGCACGGCGGTTAATTAGGTAGAAAATCCACCGCACATTCCAGCTGAACATAGAGCCCTTCTTCTGCTGCTGCTGCGGCGGCGGCCACGCTGGGCTGCCTGCCCACCGTGACCAGAGGAAAAGCGAACTGTTGGCTTCACCTCCACAGTGTGTGTTTTAAGGAATCTGGACTGCAGAGGTTCTGTCAGGTGTTTCACTGCAGCTTCTGACAGTTTGACTTTACAGCACAGCAGAGGAAACAAACATAAGATCCCCCTGAAGGTCAGAAACTTTTAACAAACTCGTCCTGCTCAGACGAGATGTTGTTGGTCCAAACAGAAGTCAGTCCTCCTCGGCCTCGAAGCCTTTCCTGGTGGTCCTGAGTTGAGTTTCCATTAAAGCAGAACAGAAATCCACACCTGTGTAGCTTGTCCAGGCACATTATGAAGTACATTTTACACACTCTCCTGTCGGGCAGTTTGAGTGATCAGAAACTCCTGAAGGTTAAAGAAAACCAGTCCGGACTAACTCTACAAGAGACTTTAAAGAGACATTAAGAGTCTCGCCATCTCGTAATGTCACAAGCTCACCCTAAAGGAGCCAGTGGTCCTTTAAATATATGGCGACCCTCCTTTATCCAATGTAATATCCTCTCTTATATCGGCTGATCCAGTGCTAAACATGTCTTCAAGTAGAACTCGTTTTTTTAAATGTTAGTAAACCGTCTCAGCACTGCACCTACAACTCCCCACGTTCGTGTTCCTCTAAGGAGGACCTCGTGAGGTCTTGTGAAAAGTGTAAAACTAAGGACGCCATCAACCCGTGACAACAGGCGGCACCGCAAATGGTCACAAGGAAGAGGAGTTTGCAGCTGGTTGTTCTAAGTCGACTTACAGAAATAACAACCTTTAAATCACATTTAATTAGAATAACATGAAAAAGTTAACTATTGATTGTTTAGCGTGAAATAACGCTCCTCCTAAACAGAAACCAGCAAACATCAGGGGCTCTGCAGGTCTTTAAAAAAAGTCTTGAAAAAGTACCTCAAAACAAGAAAGTATTAAAAAGGCTCAAGTCTCCCGCCTGCTGCAGGCAGGAAAGTTGGTTACAGCATGTTTCTGGATGTGACTGCAGCTGTCAGGAGACGTTCTACAGCTGCAAACTAACAGTGGGGTTGTTGTGATGGTGGATTGTGCTGCTCTCAGCCAGCACCATCAGACCTGCAAGCAGCACCGTCACTACAGCAGCTACAGCAGCAGGAAGCTCACCATCTTTTCAACATGAACATAAAGAGGTTATATTCTGCTTCTTGGCCTTTTCCCCCTCTCCTTTATTGAGTTTATATATATATATATATACACACACACACACACACACACACACACACACACATTTTTCGTGCATGTAATAGGTTTGCGAAAGTGAAAAAGCCCAAAGGGAGTTCCCATCTGCCACAGAAAACTCTGCTCTGCTCTGAACACGGCTGGATTGTAGTCCAGCCTTTATTTAACCTCTCTGCGTCTCCATGTAATCCTCATCATGATGCTCGCCTAGCGGTTAGTGTGGTGCATCCTCAAAAACACTGGTGGAGAAACACACTTTTGAAAATTCAACCTCGAAAACTATTCTTGAACAACCGCTAAATAAAACAATGAACGTGAAAATGAGCAGAATATGAGCACTTTAAATAAAAATGGTTAAGCCTCATTAAGAAAAACTTTGACTGGAGGGGGGGGGTAACCTCACTGACAATCACTCCCACTGTTCCTGGTCCTCGGTCGCAGAGCTGATGTGTAAACTGACTCATTAGCACGCAGCGGAGACACAAATGAGCTCATTAACATGCTGTTTCACTGCCGGGCGACATCTGGAGAGCCAGCGCTCGGCGAGAACCGCTTCCTATTGTTGATCCGGGAGAACAAAGAGACCGGGAGGATCTCTGGTCTCCCACATGTCGCGCTGATCACTGAGGTGTTTCTGCTACTGATCACTGAAGCCTCCTTTATGTTAAACTAAAATCCTCCGTCCGCTGGGAGATTAAATTCCTGCTTTCTGCTCATTTACATGAGAGATAATCAGTCACAGGGACTGTTTATTCTTCTTTTTCACTCTCAAACTTACATCATCTGTGTCCTCGTGGCAACTTAAATAAAGCAGGCGACCCGTTTTAACCAGTATATTAACTATTAAAGTTGAAAGAAACATATTTTCTAGTAGTATATAACCACACTGACTCCAGCAAGACGTCATCACAACTAACTGCGTTAAATTTTGTCCAATAAATGGGACACTGGTCTGTTTCAAAAGATTGGTAGTTCAGCTCTACACAGATGCAGAAGTTAAAATGGTTCTTCTTTATTTAACAAGCGGAGAACCGTGGAAACAAAAGCCGAGCCGTGACAGTGGATAGAATCAGAAACCAGGACCTGAGTTTGACTCCCGCTGCGACTCATCCTCGTGTCCCTGAGCGAGACACTGAACCTCTAGTTGCTCCAGAGAATAGAATCAAAACCCGGGGTTTGATTTCATGCAAATCTTCACGTTTATAACTTTAGCGCACCGATGAGGAACTTCTTTTTAAAGGTTTTCTCTGGAAAGTTCTGCAGTAGGTTTCCAGTGAAGCAGGAAACAGATGCGGAAAAACAGGTGCAGCGGTTAAAACGGTTCTTAATTATTTAACAGATTTAGTTCCAGGACCTCGTCCCCAAAGCTGGCGGAGAACCGTGGAAACAAAAGACGGGTTCCTGCAGTGGAAAACGGCTGCAATTTAATCGCCAACAACAAAAACCGCGACACAGAATCTGAATCCATCAATACTGAGAAAATGTCGGCCATAAACAGAATCAAAATTTGGGTTATCATAAATATCAATGTCAGGTTTGTAACTTCAATTCACCGGAAAACCTTCTTAAGAAGTTTGGATTCTGCAGTTTCACGCGACGCAGGAACGGATCCCTTTAAATGAAAACAAACAAAACTCGCAGACATGATCACATCTAAAAAGCGGGAACCAGAAGATAAAAAAAACTTACTAACTTAATCAACTACGAAAATGGCCGCCGATTAAAGAATCTGTCTGTCAACTAACTGTTTGAGCTCGACCGTAAATCCAGCATCTGTTAATGTGATGAAACTCGTCAGAATCAAACTCTACAAAACGGACCAACGTGGCAGAAAATCCTCCGCTTCAGGTTTCCTCTCACTGTTTACTTCTTCTGGAGTAAAATCCCACTGTGGGCGCTCTGCACCGCAGCTTCCAGCTCAAAGCAAACACAACCCCGTGTGGGTTTCTGGACACAGGCAGCCACAGTGTTGGACCTGCCGGGGCGTTTCCCCGCCGCCACCTGAGCAGCTCACCTTACAACACAAACACCCAGGTCAAACCACGGCGGCCAGCAGAGAGAGAGAGCAGAAGCCCGGGCAGAAACACACACAGCCTCAGTTTCACCTGCTTCACATTCAAATGCACCGCAGAGAGTCCTGCTTTCTGATTGGCCGGCAGCTCAGCTACCTTTCTGAAGGTGTATAAATTTGGAAATTGTATTTGATTCTTGTTAAGCATTTTGTCATGTAAAGTGCTCTATAGACAAAGATTATTATTATTATTAAACTGCAGGTAACCACAGCAACAGGACTGATGTATGTGGACACCCCTGCTCCAGATCCATTAGTGCCCTGTGGACCCTTTTTTCTTTCTCTGGCTCCCTCTCAATGCTACAGCATGATATTTCAGATAAATGGATGTTAACGTGTCTGCATACTTTTGACACCACAAACAATAACATAATGTGTGTGTGTGTTGGGGCTTCAGGTCTTGAACCGTCCTCCCTGGAGGGTTTTTGGGGCTCTGCAGGACTCCACTTAGCTTTTAATGTGTGCACTCTTTACTCACCACCCCCCACAACAACAACGCCTCCACAGGGGCCTGCTGGGGGACATTAAACAGGGCTTCCCCCTAAAAGAGACCCAGCTGCTGGATTTCATGCTCACTTTCTGGCTGTGACATTCAGGGAAACACCAAGTGAAGCAACGCTGTGGAATTTACACAGGAGCCGTCAGTAAGTGCTGCGAGAATCCCACAGGAGGCATAAAGGATGATTGACCTGTTACCTGCGGTGGAGCTAAGGGTGGCGCTGGAGGAAAGATTATGGAGTCGCTCAGATGTAAAGGATTCATCCTCTGGAGAGCAGGATCCACCTGATCAGCCTCCCGCAGCAGGAAAACAACAGCAGGTCAGAAAAGGGTGATTCTGAACAGAAAAATTCATTTTGGACAAGCAGAAGAGACAAAGTCCTGGACCCTGTTCATCCTCTACGGGCTCTCGACTGACGGATCGGCCGGGCTGATTTTAGCTGAAGATGCTCGGTAGAGACATTTACTGTTGGTACAGGAAGGACAGAGACAGGCAGAGAGCGCTGGTATCTGGGTCAGGACTCCTTATTCACACATGGGAGGGATCAAATCAAGACAAAAGATCATTATCAGACTTTAAGATCCAGACTGGGTCGGGCTGTAACACTCAGAAATGAAAGGCACCTGCAGACAGTTAGGCTTTCATGAGTTAATAAGCTGCGAGTGTCTTCAGGCTGTTCACATGTAGTGACAGAAACGCTTCAGTGCTGATGCGTCCTCACATGTCCACAAAGAAAAGTTTTTCATTCAGAGAACGCCTCCCTGTTCATGTTACATAATCAGCTTCAGTCTGACAACAACAAAGCAGCCAGGATCTGAGTAAAGAGATGTTACAATCCCTCTGTGCTCACACCACAGCGGCCCCACTCCTCTTCTGAGGAGAGTCAGAGCACTTTACAGAGAGACGGCAGCAGGTAAACCTACACTGCTGCACAAACTCTGTCCGTGTGTGAGATTTAACGGGACAGTGAAGGCAACACGCTGTGACAGAGAGAGGAGACTCACCTGCAGCTGCTTCCTGCCTTTAAAAAGCTGCTCGTCGATCCAGGAGTGGTTTCCCTCTGCTGCGCTCACTTCTCGAGGTTCCCGTCCTGACTGAAGGAGGGCGGGGTCCTTCAGCTGGACCAGGATCAGCAGGAGGAGGAGGAGGAGGAGGATTTGCATTTACTCAAACACTATAAAGCATAACACTGAGGTACTTTAACTTGAGTACTTCATTTGAATGCGACATTATACTTAAACTCCGCTGAGGGAAACTACTAAAGAGTATTTTACCTGTTTTTTTAAAAACGTGATCAACAAATTTAAAGGTTTTGAGAATTAAAGAAATAAAGAAAAATCCTCCAAATCCTCCGAGTTCAGCTTCTCAGACGTGAGGAGCTGCTGGTCCAACAAAACTAGACATCAGAGTGTAACTTCCAGGACATTTTGTAAATAAGCTGATTTAATTTAAAAAAGGTCTTTACTGCAGGGACAGATGTTTCATTTCTTTTAAGAACATTTGGTTTTTAGGACTCAAGGAATGCATTTAGCTATATTTCTGAATAACTACATTTACTTTCAATACACTTTTTTTTTCTTTAGGTAAGATTTAAATGCAGGACTTGTATTGAAGTCCACCTGGACCCAATCAATAATAATAATAATGACCCTGATTATTACTCATCCTGACTGTCTGCTGCCCCCTGCTGGCTGCACCTGCTATTACTAAAACCACTTTATGTGAACATGAAGGAGACACAGAATTAAACCAACATGGTGTCATTAAAACAAACAAACAAGCAGACCGAACGCCAGCACGCACTTCTGACCCGTTTAAAGCGGGAAATAAAGAATGAATAAATAACACCGTTAAAAACCATGAAATAGACACACTTAGCACCAGTATCAGAAAAAAACGTATTTGCAAAATAGAAATGCGAATATTAATCTCTGGCCCCAGAGAAATCTCTTAACTTTCATAAAAATAATTTTATATTTTCCTGAAGAACTGCTTCATTTGAACCCAGTAAATAATAATTCTTCTTTCACTTATTAAAAATCATATAAGAAAATAAGTTTCTCTGTAAACAGAGTCCACATTTTTGTAATAATAATTATCTCAATACAAATAATTTGTAATTTAATGGTAAATTATTGGAAAATGAAAAAAAGAATCTTTACAAACCAAACGATCAATCGATTCATGGAGAAAATGATCAGCAGACTGATGCAGGATGCTTTACATTAATGATCAGGAATAATAACCTGATGAGCCTGATTATACTCACTTCCTCAGCCACCGCTGGGGACCCCGCTCTCTTCCCATTGGCTCACCTGGGGTCCCCTGCAGCCAGGTGGACCCTTCTCACCCCAGGAGCTGGCTGGCAGCCGCTCTGCGTCTCGCTCAAGGAGACGTGTTCATCAACTGGACATTTCACTCACTCCCGACAGCTTAGTACACGTTACTGTTTTATTGGTTACAGCATCTTGTGTCAAACCAGGCTGACAACATTTTAAAATGCAAAACACAAAGACGAGACGAAAACACAAACGCAGAGTACAAAAACAAAACATCTCACAGCAAACGTCAGTCAGGACGTTATCAAACCGTCAGAGGCGCCGCTGTGTGGCGCATCGCTTCATCTCAAAAAGTAAGTCCCGGTCCAGCTGGACTCAGTCGGATCAGGAGTTCATTTAAAACTTTGTTTTATTGGTGCAAATGAAATGTAGTGGTTTTACGGTTTATTGCCTCTCTTGTTTCGCCCTTTTATTGCTTCGGACTGGTGGACGGTGGACAGAAACCTGTTCCAGGCGCGTGCGCAGGACCCGTTGGAACCTGCAGACGAGCCAATCGGGCTTCTCGTCACGTCTCCAGGTGTGTGACTGAACCCTGAGCACAGCTGGCGCCTCCTGGTGGTCCGCCGGCGGCTACGCACTCTGCACGGCGCTCTGTGGACCTGAAGACTCTGCAACAACAACACAATCGAGATGAAACTAGAGACTGCAGCTCGTCACTGATGCACCCGCCATAGCAAATGTCTTTACAGCGTTTTAACTGGCTCGCCAAATACGTCACAGGTATGTAGGTGAAGATGCACTAATTGTATTCATGAGCTGTTTTTTTGCCCTAAAACCATGATGGCTGATTTGACCTTTGACCCCATAAATGTAGTTCGTGGCCCCTACTCCTTTGCATCGCCATAAATGGTTCGAACAGCAAAGTGCAGTTTCAGCTTTTATCTTGTTTCAGTGAATAAAAACATAACTCATGAACAAAGACTTGATTTCATACTTTACCTGCTCAATTACCGAGATAAGAATCTCCCTATAAATGAAACTTCACACCATCTTTACCGTTTAAATTAAGTGATTAAATACAAGGCTCGGCTGAGCAGAGGGGGAAAAGAAAGATACAACACAGCGCAATGGGACCAGAAGACAGAGATTAAAATGTAGGTTAATTATACATCTGACCCGTTTTAAACAGTCGTGTCCTTTTTACGACAACAAACGAAACTAGAGGAAAACGTGGGATAACGGCGTCCGCCGAACCGACACAGGCAGTTTTGTCTGACGTCAACTCACACTGAAGTGTTTCGGCGATGAACGCTCAGCCTGCACGTTGTTGACGTGATTTTAATTTGTCATTTTGTGTGCTTCAGCTACGGATAACAGCTCTATGTGAGCTCGTTCTGTTCCGCTCTCTGCAGGCTACATATCCGCATGAAGCATTTCAGAATAAGAGCGCTTGCCTGTCTGATTTTGCTGATTTGTGTTTCTACTATTGTTAAGTAGCTAAGTAGTTAAATTGTTCCTTTGTCTGTTTTAACTGTTATTTGTTGATGTATGACGGGGAGTCTGCAAAAGGCGTTTTATTTTGAAAATCGACCGGATTCCCTATGCCGTTCTGTGTCTGACTTCCTGCCTGGTTCATCTGCTCTGTGCTGCTTGACTTCACTCAAAAGTGAATATTGAACATTAGAGAAACTTCAATAAAATGTTGTTTTTTTTAATTTCAAATTGAATCATAATATAATATCTGGCAGAAAAATCATAATTAGATTTTTTCCCCCTAATCGTTCCGCCCTACTGGTAGGCGGTGTGTCCACACGGGGCCGTGCAACCATTCATTAAACGTGCCAATGTTTTTGATGAACATGAACTGAATATAAACTACTAAAATAACAGAGAGTACGTGATGAAGAAAAGAGGAGACTTGGATCTTTATGTGGACACAGAAATGTAACCTGGTTAAATCATATCTACATGCAATCTGGATTTGGGACTCATTGTAGCGTCAGGTGTGTGTGCAGCGATGAGGAGGCTGTAACCTTCCTCACATTAACACATGAAGCTAAGAGAAATGTCTGATGTCATCACGTCTCCACGTTTGACCTTCAGCTGCTGCTCTTTAATGACAGCGGCGATGCGGATCCGTCATCGTGCTCAGTGTAAAGCAGCTGACCTGCGAGTCCTTCCAGCCTCTACAGGTGCTCAGGTTACCTGTGCGCAGCGCGCTCGTCCTGATCCGGCTCTCCTCCAGCGTTAAAAAGAAGCCGCTTCTCTCTCCGGGGTCAGAGGTCACGGCGTCTCCTGATCCCACCTCGCAGGCCATCACCACGATGGGACCCTTCCCCGCTTTCAGGTGGACCTGGATGCTGTCCTGCATCAACACACACACGCACTTTCGTTCAGCCGCCATGTTTACTATCAGCTACGAGAGAAAAGCTACAGGAAGTTGGATATTTTCAAGTCTTAACCAACGATAGACTCCACAGAACATTTTCTGCATTAGCTGATTAATCGTTCTCTGTAAAAAGTCTCAGAATAATAAAAATCTTTTAATATCTAGTTTTGTCCGACCAGAAACAAACAGATTTTTCTTTAAATAATTCTCAAAACAGCTGCCGTTTAATTTTCTCTCGACTGACCAACTAATCTTTGCCCCTCTGAACCTAAAAAGGATGTTGCACCTGATCATGAGATGCTGTAGTGAAAGGATCAGGTGGAGAATGATTTGATTAGTTTTCTACATGTGCAATAAGACATTTTAGGCATTAGACCAACACTTCACACGTAGTGCTGAGGAGCCTCTGCCTGGTCTCTGTTCCTTTACCTCTTTGGGTGCAGGAATCTCCAGTTTAGTTTCCTCTGGAGCTTTGACGACGACCACCGTCTGCTCCTGGAAGGCTCTGAGCCGGCAGACGTCCTCGTGGGTCACGTAGGCCGACGTACAGAAAAAGGTTAAAGAAAACCTGCTTCTTGTTTAAATAAGAACGTACAGCGATGGCTTTTCACTTCCTTTCAGGCACCCCGGCTCCACCTGTCCCTGCTGCCCAGTTTTACTTAAACTGCCGTTTTCCACAGCCACTGGTTTCTGTTTATTTCTGTCGGACATAAAAACTGCTGAAACTTGCTCGTTCATCTTTGTCTGGGAACACCTCGGGACCCCCAGGAGGAGCTGGAGGACTCTGGTCTGCTATCTAAAAGGAAAGGACTCCGTCAGGTACCAGGGCCTGCTGGTGACCTCGGGCCCGCTGTGAAAGGATATGCGGCGTTCTCCGCGTCGTCGGTCATGTCGAACAGCTGCTGGGCGCAGTTTTTGATGAGGCCGTCCAGCGCGTCCTCCACCAGCTTCAGGTTCTGCAGCTCTCTCTGGAACTTCTGCTGGTTCTTCCGCAGAAAGCTGGAGATCCGACACTTTCCCCTGCACGGAGAAAAATCTGAGAGTCACTGAGCAGCTTTACAACAACAGAGCAACAGTCGACCCGTCAGGTCTTATTAAAAAAGGAATAGACACGAGAAAGAAATCAAACAATCTGCCTGCAAGGAAGCAAAGTAAAAACAGATGAATGGTTTGTTTATTTGGATAAATAACATTAATAAAGTCAGTCAGGCCGCTTGGATCCGTTTACTCAGATCCAGCACATGAACCATTTTAAACTGGCCACGCTGACTCGTCCCCCGTGTTCTCACATGAGGCCGCCTGTCTCAAACTTCACAACAAAAACATAAAAGCCAACAGTGAACAAGGCGTCCTCTCGTCCGTGACTCACGTCCACTTCACCCTGTTGGCCGACTCCTTCCGGATGAGGTCGATGCCCTCCAGGATGTTGGTGATGTCGTAGACTCGCCGTCTGCGGGTCCGCAGGCTCGTGGTCACCTCTCTCAGGTCCAGAGAGCCGCCCGGCGCCGCCAGCAGAAGGTCCAGGAAACGCTGAGTCAGCATCGCCAGAGACACGTCTGAAAAAGACACTCAGAGTCAGAGCTGCCTGAGAAACAAACCTCCACGTCCTGCAGCTGGGACGCGTCGAGAAACTAATCTGTCAAATATTTAAGCAAAGCGTTCTGCTCAACGCTCCTCAGGTGTGAACATTTGCCGTTTTCTTCATCTGTGACGGTAACTGAATATCACAGTCTGACCTAAACGAAAGCAGCGCTCACCATGTCTGTTGAGTTTCTTGGACTGGACCGATGGATTCCTCTGTTGCAGCGCAGCACTGGGAAGAAAAATAAAAAAAATTAAAGACACCAAAACATTCGATTCAACCTAAACGAACACAAAACAACAACCTGGGAAATATGACCCGTTTTCATCCATAAACTACACAACAATCTAAAGAATATAAAAATTCAGACACATTGTTAGACTTTAAGTATTTACCTGGTCTTCTCAGGCTCTGGAGGGTTTTCCAAACCTCCACCTGGATCCTGGAAAACAGAAAGCAGAGCAGGTAAGCAAGCTGCCGCGCTTTACGTTTGTTTCTTACGTTGTTACCAACACTCACAATTCATTTTCACCTTTAAAACAAAACAAGATATCAAATGTTACTTAAAAAGCACCAGTTCACGTTTCTCACTGCACTTTCCCTACAGAGCAGGCCGTCCTCTTTATAATACGATCTTTAGAATCATATTCACGTCTGCAGTTTTGGAAACATTTTGACATCAACTTCATATTGTTGCCAAAATAATATTTTAATCAAAATGACCACAAAGAAACTGAAGGTCTGCGGTCCACCTGTTGGTAATCAGCTATGTTAAACTAAAAGTAAACTACCAGGATGTGCTGCTCCCAAGCTGCTGCGCTGCAGATAAAATCAACATAGATCTAAAAGAGAAAGAACTTCTACTTAAAGCTGCTATAACGGATCATTTTACAACATTTAACATGTATGAAGTGAAAGTGTGTTGAGTCTCTGATAGTGAGTTAGCAGACATTTCTCAGAGGGACACATTTTGTTTCTAGAAGCCAAACTTTTGAAATGTTGACAGATTCTGGGGTTTCCAATGACAGAAGGAGATTTTAATAATTAACAGGAAAGTTAGCTTTAAAAAAAACAAACCCTATCAGACACAAACTTCAAAGAAGAAGATCTGTTAAATGTCTGGAGAGAATCTTTAAACGTGCAATCACTAATATTACAAGTTTAAACACTGACATTGGTTTAATGTTGATGTGGTGACTAGTTAGCGTTTCCATTTATTCATTTAGCTGACGCTTTTATCCAAAGCGACTTACGATTGCTGTATATATCAGAGGTCTCTTGGGGTTAAGCGTCTTGCTCAGGGACACAATGGTGGACGTGTCACAGTGGGGGATTGAACCCGATCCACTGCGCCATCAACACTCCAAACGTTTTTTTTTTTGTTTTTAAACAAAACAAAGCTTTTCCTCCAAAAACTGTTTCCTGTTGTAGCAGAATATTAAGCTCTGCGAGTGAACCAGAACAGTGAAGCTGCAGCTGAACAGATAAACAACAAGCTGAGAGTCAACTTTAAGCTCCGGAGAAGCTGCAGATTCACCACCAGAGAAGGGCTGGCTATCGAGAACCTGTTCCAAGGTGGAACATTTACTAAGACCCGTGTGTTTGGATCCTGCGTCTCGGCTCCTGACTGAACTGCAGTGAGCATTTTACAGCCCATCAAAGCCGCTACGCTGACCTAACGTCCCCTCGTGTGTTACGTCAACAAAGCCTGAACAAGAGAGTCCTTCTGGTTCCGGTCCTGGACGGCGGCGGACCGCAGCAAACGCTCCAGAGTCTGGCTTAGCTTTGCTAAAAAAAGAGAACGACACAGCAAAATGCAACAGCTGCAGTAAGGAGGTTTGGTGCGAGGGAGGAAGCAGCTCCGACACGACGAAGCGTTTCCTTCAGATTCACGCCGTGTTCAACGTGTATGACACCCCAGATCCACGCTACGCTAACAGTAGCAACAAAACACAGGTGAGCCGACGTTCAGCTTTTATACTGAAGGGAAACCAACGACGGCTACAAAGGAGACGAGTCCCCAGAGACGACTTTAGAGACGTGAAGGGGAAGATGAGCGAGGAGGAAGAGGATGAAGGTCACCGAGCGCTGACCAGATCTGTGGTGAAGGGAAAGTAGAATTGGATAAAAATATACGTTACAGCTGCTGTAGGTAAAGTGTCCACTGTGCTGCTGTATAACGATCTGGATGAAGACAGAAAACTTAATTTCCTTCTTTGTGAAGAACACATAACAAACCTGTTGTGCAGGTGTGTCTGCTGCAGGAGGAGCATCATCATCTCCTCCTTCATTTTCCACTGCCGCCTCCGCCTCCTCCTCCTCCTCGCAGCCTCCGGCGGCCCACTGCTCCTCTTCCTCCGAGGACTCGGCTCCCCAGGGGCTGATCAGGCCCAGGGGCCCGTCCAGGTAAGGGGGCATGATGGGGATGGCGTCGCTGCTGACCCCGCTGGTGGACACGTCCTCCGGCAGGAAGTGGTCCTCACAGATTAAATGCTGCTCTGTCGCGTCCTGCTTGTCTGTCTCCCTCAGCGCCGCCAGCCACACCTGAACAAAGACACCAGTGTCCCAATCAATAATAAAGATCAGCAGCAGCTGCAGCTCTTATTTTAAGTCTTCTGGGTTTCACATCAAAGCAATATGCGGCGCTAAAATCCTGACGAGGGACTTAACTAACAGTTATGTTCATTATTTTTGCTATTAATCGAGTTTTAAACGTTTGACAGGTATCTTGATGGCATATTGTAACTCCACTGCACATATTGTAAGACATCTGTAAAACACTTTCTCTGCACGTCTGCATGACGGCAATACGGTTGAATCTAATCTAATGAGAAGTGTGCTGAGACTTTTACTCAGCGCTGGGTCTACCTGGCTTATTTAGACGTCTAAAGCAGGCGTTTTCAATAATCATAATCACATACACAGACAGAATTAAACCGAGACGGCCTTATATTGCGATTTGGCAGCAGACTACACCAAATAAAGGTCTGTTATAAATCTTTTGGACTGTGGGTAAAATTCCCTAAAACTACAGTGTCTCAGATCTCTTTAACCAACTCCCACATATTCAGGTTTTTTATAGCCTGTACCTGTTGATAATTAGTGTAATAATAACCAATGCTGTGCTGCACACTCTCATGCACTCTGCACGAGCGGAGTTCAGTCAGGTTCTTCCCCAGTATGTGGAATATGTCCTTTTCAGGCCATGTTGCCTGTAGATCTTCTGCTGTTGATGCTTCTATGTTGTTTCTCAAATGTAAGTAACTGCCAAATGAATAAATGAAAATAGACTGTTTATTTTGTGTTTGTCTGTTTTTATAGTACATTTTTTGGACTCAGGTGTTTGTCCTTAATAAAGTGTTTTCACTGAGGCTCCCATGAACCTGTTTGGAGCCCCAGAGAACCTCTCAAGTGTTCAGCTCTCTAAAAAAGGACCACGGAGGAATCTAACGTGAAAGCAGGCCCCATCTTTTTAAATCTTTAGAAAAGTGAAGTTTTGATTTCAGTCCGACCTCCAACAGCTGATCTCCGGGGGCCCCACATGAAACAGCTGTCTCTTGTACCGGTACGTTAACACGTTAGCATCGTTAGCCGGCGGAAGGAAAGAGGGGGGAACAAAACTAAAGACCGACTCCTGCTACTCAAACGCCCCAGGAACCAGCACCTGAGCTGCGGGTCCAGTCCTCACCTTGACCCGAGCCGGGTCCTTCGGGAACTTAAAGAACCTCTTCGGTTGACGGTTGAAGATCCCCCGGTTTACGTTCACCATGCGATTCGGACACCCAGAGACGACACACTTCACCATGCTGCCCGTCTCTCCTCCGGGCTACCGGCGCACCGGAGCCCCCTTTATATCCGGTAATACCCGGCGCACAGCGCACGGGAGCGGGTTGTTTACGACGAGCTTCACGGCGGGTTTCCAGATCGGAAATCCTTTTTTTTTGTCACCCGGATGTACAACTATGAAGGTGAATAGAGGATCAGTAGCCTGCTGGAAGGTTCGTTTACAAAATGCAAGACACCGCCGTCTGCTGGTGAAGACAATGTAATGCAACAAAAAAGCTGACAACCATGAAATGCCAGTCAGCTAATATGTTAATGCCAAAAGCAGAAGAAAATGTGTTGCACTCATTGGTTGCTCTTTTACAGCAGGAGAAATGCGATTTCAACCTTAATTTTTGTGTTGCAGCGACCACCTGTCTCTCATATTTTGGCCCTAATATTCACCAGTGAAGCAAAGCAATTAGTGGCAGGAATTGTAATTGAGACTTGATGGCGATACTTTGCTCGGTCTCATTACTGGCTATTTTTTGTCTTCATAAAAAAGTGATGCTCTACAGGAGTTGAACCCTGAAGCTTTCATACAAAGGACAGAAACACTGCCTCTTCGCTACCTACCCACACATGTGTATGGTGGTGGTGATGGCGCATAGATAAGATGCTTGCCTTTGGTGTGGGAGACCTGTGGGAGACCCCTAGTTGCTCCAGAGGTGTGCGACCTCTGACATGTATAGCAATTGTAAGTCGCTTTGGATAAAAGCGTCAGATAAATGTATGTAATGTATGGGGTGAGCGAATGCAGCCAACCTTTCCTTCACTTCAGAAAGGTAGGAGTTTTATGGTTACCATTAAAGTTGTCAAAATACTACTCAAGTGAAAGTATAAAAGTGAATCCATAGTGAATGTACTTAAGTATCAACATTCTGTATGACACAGAATACTATAGCCAACAGTTTCTCCATGGTTTGGCTTCAGTTTTCTAAGTACTTTTTTTTATCAGCACAATGTACAAATCTCTGCAGGCAGAAAATCAGTACTGGTAAATAATGCATCCACCAAGAATGTTATACATCTAACACTCATAAATCCTGAGAAAACAGGTGGATTTATATCTCTGCAAGTAGAAAATCATTGTGGAACAATGCATCCACCTATTATGTGTGTTTTCAGACACTCAAAGGCCAAACTCTGAAGATGTTGAAATTTTACACATTTAACAATCAGATATGCTGATAATACAGGTGGATGCAAACCTGGGCAGGTAAATCAGTAAATTTTCTGTTTTGTATTTAACTATTCAGCTATCAAGTACAGTTTCAGTTGGTTGCCTTTTTTTTAAATGCAATTCTACATGTGTACATGTAATCTGGATCTCAGACTGTACAGAACCCAGCTACCAGCCTCAGACCACAGCCAGCCTGTTTTAGCCCAACTCCCAGTATGTCTTTGAATTTATTTTAAGATCTTATTGATTACTTTAATGGCTGGCCTTGTACCTTCCTATATTTCTTACCTCTTACTCCCATATGAGCCAATCTGTAACTTGAGATCCTCTTGCAACTGTTTTTATTCTCTGCTTCAGAGGCCCGACTGAAAACTCAAAGAGAGTGTTTACAGTCAGTCAGACCTGTGTGAGGAAACCAGGCTGGTTCCGTCACTAACTTCTTACCAGACACCTTGTCCTGATTTTACGTGAGTTTTTGGATTTTACTTTAACAGTGTTTTTATTTATTTTATCTTACAGTGCCAAAATTGGTCTCTCCCGTTGCCAGCTGGTATTGGCTCTAGCCCCCCCCACGACCCTGTACGCAGGATAAGTGTTTGACGATGAATGTATGGATTGCTAGAATTGGTCTGTTTTACTAAAACGACTCTCTAATTCGTCGATCCGCTGCTTTATGTAAATTTGCTCTATAAATTTGTATTATTAATATTATGATAAAAAAGTTCTCATTTGTTTTGACTTCAGGAACTTCAAGCACAACTTGAATGAGCTGAGCTAATGTGTCTGCTCTGGACAACCAGCAATCGAGTGAGAAGCGAATTGTGGGTTGGACTCATGCAGAGAAAGTTAAGCAGAGAAACGTCTGCAAATGGAAAGAACAAACACTCTGATATGAGCCCTCACTGACTTTTTACCCTCACTGCTTTCTCTTCAGGCCACATAAGCGTTCACATATGAAACAAAGATATTTCAGCTGATTGTTGCACTTAGAACGAAAAACTGAAAAAGATTACAAGGTCTGTTAGGATGAAGGGTCAAATGATTTCTCAGAACAATCTTATATCTTGCTACAAAAATACTTAAATGGTTTTGCAAAGAGTTTACAAAAGTATTATATTGTGTGCATTAAAATTCTAAGAATTATATACACCGATCAGCCATAACTTTATGACCACTGACAGGTGAAGTGAATAACACTGATTATCTCATTACCGTGGATTGCACCTGTACCCTCATTGATGCACGTGGAGAGTGAAGACTAGCCCGTGTGGTCCGATCCAACAGATGAGCTACTGTAGGTCAAATTGTTGAAAAGGCTGATGTTGGTTATGATAGAAAGGTGTCAAGAACACACAGTGCCTACACAGTAGAGTCTATGCCTCGACGGGTCAGGGCTGTTTTGGCGGCAAAAGGGAGGCCTACATTATGACCAGCAGGTGAAATTTGCTCTTACATTGAACAATATTTGAAAATTTAGATTAAGTGTGATGCAACATCCAGGCATTAGTGGTGTAGAATGATGAAATGTTCACTAACACTACTATAATACAACCCAAGATTAACAGTGTCATTTAGTTTTGTGAATCATGCAGGTAGTGAAAGAAAACAAGACTTGGGCCAGGTACACACTACCTGCTAACAGTATGTTAGTGTGGTGGAACAAACAAAAACATAGTTGCTAAAAGTGTTGTCTTTGTGATATTTATTAAAGTTAGAAGTAGGCCTACTACAGCTGGGGCAAAGAGCTTGTTACACCGGAGGGTGATTAGAGTGTCTGACTCAGAGGAAATTATATCTAAAACAATGAATGCAAGGAGATAATTGGGAAGCCTTTCTTAAACTTGATGCTCAAGTTCTCACAGGAAAGAGTATGCATAAAACAAAACAATTTCAGGCCTGTTCATTTTGGAAAATGCACTGGTACACATACAGTAGTGGACAGTGTATGATAAGTTAATGAGAGACCCGGGATGTCCAGGTTGTTGCTATGAGTTGTTAACATGGTCAAGATGTTTCTAAAAATGGTATAGAAATGTCAAGTTTCCAGAGTCCTTCTTTGGATTATTTAGATGTCAGGAAGACATTACACCTTCTACAGAAAACAGAGTGACGCTGAGGAACCAGGCTTGGACACAAACCTAAACCCAGGATAAAGAGGTTCAGTGAACATAGTGTTGAAGGTGTGGAGGTGGATCAGTGTGTCAGAAAAGATGTTGTAGAAGGACAGAGTGCCAGCAGGACAGTCCACATACACTCCAACTCTGTTAGAGACAGAGGAGGAGGAAGGAGGGAGATCTGTTTTTATGTTTTTGTGCCAGACAGAAAAACCATCACCAGAGCAGCTCAGAGTCCAGGACTGATTATTCCCTCCAAACCTGCAGTCATATCCCTTTCCTTTCCTTCTGATTCCTCTGTAAGTCACTGCTATATGAACCACCCCTTCCCAATTGACCTCCCAGTAACAGCAACCAGTGAGACCATTTCTGCACAGCAGCTGTTTCCAGTGGTCAAATCTCTCTGGATGATCAGGATATGTCCGTTCCCGTCTCAACAGAGTCACCGTTCTGTTGTTGTCAGACAGTTTAAGCTCTCTGTTTGCTGTGTTTGTGTCCAGTGTGAGTTCACAGAAATCTGATGGAGAGAACAAGACACAACACAGCAGCAGTTTATCATCCAACACAACTGTATGATTAATTGTTTTAACTATCATAATAGATATATACTAACAATTCTGCATCCACACTTACACTTCTTCATGGCAGGTTTCAGTCTCTGCTCTCCACCATGGTCTAAACTGGAGTAAGAAACACAGACATTGTCTTTTATTATACTGTAGGAACAGAAACATTTAATAACCTTTCTTATAGTAAAGTGAGTCAAGCGTCTCAGACAAAGCTTATGAAATGCCCCCCCCCCAAATCATTTAACCAGTACTGGAGACATGAATTCATCACAAGTTATCTCATTTAACTTTTCATATAGAGTAGGTCTAGACCGTACTCTTTGTAAGATTATTTAGACTCAAGAATTCCCACCATGAGCAGCATTTGACCACAGTGACAAAGAAAACAGGTAGAGTTAACAGGTAGAAACCTTGAGCAGAGCCTACATTCAGGCCAGGTGGCCATCTGCCTCCACTGGCTGGTTTAGGGGTTGGGGATGGAACACACAGTAGCCCAAAACATAGATATATAAAATAATAGTAATAGTAGCGGTATTTATACAAATATCAATGGAAATTAATAGTAATAATAATAATAATGATAATAATAATGAATGAAAAGTGAATATAAATTTGGACAGCCAAAGTACCCTCACATAGAGAGTTTTGAGTATGACAAACTCTGAACTGCAATAGTGTTAACTGTTGTCTGTCCATACCTGAGAGCATCCAGTCTCAAGTGTGGATCCTCCTGACAAGCATATAGCAGCTTTCCTCCTGAGTCTCCTGGATGATTGTAGCTCAGGTCCAGCTCTCTCAGATGGCTGGGGTTGGACTTCAGAGCTGAGGCCAGAGCTGCACAGCCTTCCTCAGTGACCTGACAGCCTGACAGCCTGATGATACAAGAATAGTTCTAGTCAAGTACAAGTCAATAACACAGAGAGACCATCTGCTTAGTATTTTAATTGTTAGTTTAAAAAAATCACCAACAACTGGTTGCAGAATCTTTGGTATTCAAGGTCTCAATGGAAAGATGAGAGGAAAATGAAGAAATACTGAAAATGAAAGTCATTCATTGGAGTTGGAGTTTTATTCCAAATAGCTGGTAACACAACTTATATGAAAATAGTAGTAGGTCAAAGAAAACCACATACAGTATGATGACAGCTGCTATATTTTTTTAATAACGAAACATCCTTCCTACAACTTACTTATTCATTTGGTATTACACCAAACAGGCAGCAGCACAGAGCTTCATGCACAGCTTAGTAAT